TCGAATTATTGTTTTATCTCTCGGCAGCCGAGCCAGCAGTCAGTTTGTCACCTCTCAGCTCCATTGACAGCTTTTTATTCCTCCCAGCATCAACATGACACGCACACCAAAGTCAATTTTATGAAACTGCGCGATCAGGGTGGATTTCCTTAGGGCCCGACTGAAGGACGGTTTAATATAGCTTTTGAAATTAAGCATGATGTTCTTCAATTTGATATACAAAATATTTAACAGCAGAATCGAAGAACCACCGATTTTTAATTATTTCATTATTTCAATGTTTAAAAATACAAAATTTAATTAATAAATAAAGATTTAACTTATGTTCATAGCTACAAAAATTGATAAAACATTTAGGAGAGGAATGTTGATTTTCTTAATTTATTTCCGAAAATTTCATCCTTTGCAGAGTAGCGTGTGTTTTTGCAAACATCGCGTGTGATCGCTTCAGCACCCACCCATATTTACCATGAAAATAAAAAATTCGCACTGCCACGAAAAAGCGAAAAACACAGACGGCGGCGGGAAATGTTAAAAGGCGTTCGGATAAAAATTTTGTGCGCCGCCGTGCATGCATGAAAAAAGGCAAATGCACACAGGGCTCTCGAGGCACGGGTGGGTGCGCTTTTGCGCCAGTTGCCAGCAGCAGGTTCATTATATTTATTTCTGTGCAGTCGACGCCCGACGACTTTCTTTGCTGCTCCCTCTCGTCATTTTGCTCCCTCGGTTTCTATGGCAACTGACGAGGCGAACCGTGTCTCTCTCTACGTGCAGTGCGCCTTCAATTCGCAGTCTTTCGAGCTGAATTAATGCCATTGCTGCAGGAAAGTTGGTGCCGCCGCCGTGGAAGAACTTCCTTCACCACTCTCTTGACTGCACACAAAACTTTTCTCTCCACGCACTCCCACCGAGTTTTGCTTCATGCGGTGGAAAATTTTCTCAAAAGTTAGGGAAGTTTCCGCTTCACATGCAAATTTTTTCCATCTTCACTCGCGGGCAGAACTTGAATTTTCAATTTGCAGCTCAGTGGTTTTAAATAATGGCGATGCAAAGCTTGCTCATTTTTTTTCTTCAAATTTTATATATTAGTAAATTTATATTGGTTCTTAACTATAATTTGATTATTTCAGTTTTCATAAAGATTAGATTCATGAAATAACATGAAATTAATTTTATTCCTTATAGATATAAAAAGGAAACTTTAACCAGACTGTTTAATTCATTTCTGTGAAAAAAATTGGAAATTTCCATTGAAAGCTCTGCAATTGACTCGACATTAGATTTTTATGATTTAGAATGGTTTTATTTTATTGGTTTTATTTTTCAATTTATTTTTTATTTATTTAATTTTTTTTAATATCCAACTCACTTCTTAAGTAACATTCTTTTTGTTCTTCAATTGTGGTTTGAATCTTTAATCTTTTTGACATCATCAAGCATGTGGAACCTCTTGATTTTAAACTGAATTTTATTGAAATAAGACTTTAAAATTGCTCTACTAACAAACGGTGATTTATGCGTGCTGAATTTTTCAATAAATCTGAATAAATTTAATTTTGAATATTTATTAACGTCGGTAGGACTGGTGCTTGAGCACGCTTGGTCACGGTTGAAGCTAGAAAGGGTTGGTCTTTTCTACGAGGAGGCCCTCGTCTCTCTTCAGTACTTCTTCTGCTCAAGCTGAAGATAGCCATCATCTTTCTCTTTCTTTTTCTAATACAGCAGGAGAAGTGAACCTGTTTTTCGTTTCGGTGAAGCAGAAAAAAATATTAAGCCCTAATTGGATTGCATTTCTCGAGTTCCTTTATTTTATTATATTAAACGGCGTGGTTTTCGTGTCGTCCCTAGCTCTCTATCTCTCTCGTAAGCTCACACACCGGCTACTTGTTCCCAGCATAATGTAAACTGCGCCAGGCCATTTTCTGTGGCCGCACGGTCGGGAAATAAATTTATTGCCCTTTGAGCCGCTTAATTCGGCCGGTTCATAATCGTGTCCCATAAAGTAGCATGGAAAAAACAAAACAAATAAACGTAAATCAGCATCGCGGTATTGCGCGCTGAAAACCCGCGGTGTGATTGCAAAAATCTGAATGTTTTATAAGAGAGATGCGAACGAAAATAAGTACCATTGGAATCAGGTTGAGAACTACTCGTTTTATTAATAATGAAAAATAATTTTGTCAAGAGGAAAGTAAAATTTGGTTAGGTTAGCACTAAACTTGGTTATTACTTTTGCGACATATATTATGTGGTGGCATTTAAAAATTTTGCTGATTTGTATTAATCTTTCTCATGATTCATGAATTAGGGACGCTTATTGTGAACTAAGCTCTGAGAGGGTTTATTTTGAAATAAATAGTAATATTTAATATTCAATATAGACAAGCCCGTTTTTTTACATAATTTCCGAAAGTAAAAATGCACTTTTTAACCATTTTTGGAATTTTTTAAATTTATTGTGCTATAAATATTTTTAAATTTCCTTATGCTAAAGTGGCCTTTCGAGATTGGATGGTTTTTAATATGGAAACCAGTGTCTGAAGCAATTAATAATTTCTTAACCTATTTTGAGTTAAAATAATTAATTGTAATGTTATTGTTAATCTTACGTCCTTCTAAAGTTGAAGGAAAAAATTTAAGGTTTTTAAAATCTTTGATTGATTGAAATTTAAAAATTTTATGCAAGCAGATCTACTTAATATAATATTAAATAATGATTAATCAATGTTTTTTTTACTTCATTTTTCTTGTATTTATTGACCACCGCATCAATCAATTTGCATTCTTCCCATATAGTTTATTTTGACAATTTTTGAACCAGCTTCCGTCCAGCTTCCATTTTGGTTCTACAAAACCATGCTGTCAATTAATTTCTGTATTATCTCTTCTAGGACCATAAAAGCACAAAAAGAATCAAAAGCCTCAAATAAATGTCAATTGGTTTTCTATTCAGCTATCGATATCATGATTTATTCTATACAGAAGACTATTAGTTTTAAAATTTTGCAATTTCATTTTACATTCCTATCCGCCATAAAGCCAATAGAGATTTATGATGATTTCATTCTCTCTGCTTGTCTAGACAAAATTGCGAAATGCTCCTCCTAGAGTAAGCCATGCTCGTAAACCACCAAACTCAAAAGGCTTATTACAAACAAACCATACTTAATAATATACCAAAGCGGGCAGAGCGAGATGTGTGGTGCGTGTGCGTATCATAAATAATAATAATCAACAATAAAGGCTAACAAGATGCCCCCGTGGGTTTTCTTTCTCCTAATTGATAATAAATTAGATAAATGATCGCCGGCGTGCATTCCTGGTGATATATTTATTATCTCCACGGAGAGATTCCATCGCGCAGGTAAGACTCGTGGCTCTGCAAAGAAAGGGTCGCTCATTATAAAAAAGCGCGTGTGACATTATTCTCCAGCAGTCGCGCAGGGTCGCAGCAGTTGGTCCTCTAATCATCTGTTAGGGCCTGCTGAGATGCTCGGCTACCGGAATACTTTGCATTGCGCCTAATAAGCTCCAAATATTTTGAGAGCAGACTGACTCTAGCCGCAACCCTTTGTCTGGCAAAGTCGTTTGTCATCGCCGACCGAAGGAACCCTGCTCGCGCTCGCACACGTCAATTAAAGCGTTTTTCATTCATGCGTGCACACACCGCGCGGCGCCCCCTGAAAAAAAAATACCGATTCTGGGGAAAATTTATGGCAGCATTGTACTTTTTTTACGTCATTCTTAAAAGTTTATCTTGATATGGGGAAGTACAAAAATATTTAATATTTATGTAATTTTCCTCTCCAAATTTTAGTGCCAATATTTAAATTACTTTCTATAAATACATTGATTTCGTCAAGAAATCTTTATTTATTTTTCTTTAGTATAGTTCAATATTATTTTTGTTTAATAATATTTTGTTCATTGATTGGGAAATTATATTGATGTCATAAGAATACATTGAGTTAATATATAACGTATGTGCTGATTTGTTTATTTATATTTTTCACTTTCTGACCTACCTTGAATTGTATATATGATTAAAATCATTTGCATTTTGTAACATGTTAAACAGAATTATTATAATGAAATTTATCTGCGCCATTATTATTGAATAAAAAGTACATTGAGCAATAGAAATTTATATTATCAAAGGGAAAACTTCAACTTTGCAAAATCCAAACACAACATCGCGCTCATTTTTAAAAGGCGCCATCAAGGAACAACTGGTGTCCCATAAAATCGCGCAATTTTTTCTCTCGCACGCTTTTCTTCTTCTTTCTTCCCAATCCACTGTGCTGCCTTGTATTTTCGTGGAGGCATGTGGTCGCGGACGTTTTCCGCCGCTCGCTGCTGAATTGTCTGCGCGAGCATTGAATACTAATTCGCCAGCGAGCCGCCATTATACATACAACGGTGTACGTATTTGCGCTTTTTGTTTTGTCGCTGGCAAAATGTCACTGGGCTTTGCTTGGGCGAGCTCGGAGAAAAGAACATAAAAAAGGCGAAACACGCATTGGCCATTCCGCCCCGGTGAAAAACAATGGCCAAAACTGCTGCTCTCGCCAGCAGCCGGACAGAGATTAGACGCGCCGAGAGAATATAATGTAAGGAATAGTTTAAATGCACGAAGCAGTTCTTTTTTTGCGGCCGGGCCTAAAATGTAAATGCTTCTGGGAACCGTTTGTTGGTCATGAGAGATATTTAGCAAATGACGTTTGTTTCGCCGAACCTGCAGCAATGAATAAGAGGAAAATTTTAATTCAAGTCTCATGCTGTGAAAAATGTTTGAAAGAAGTGACTAATAAAATAATATAATTTTCAATTTCCTTCCTCTTCATTCTTCTTCTTGTGTTCTTATGAATTGATGGAGAGAGGATTTGAACTGATTTAAAAAAAAATTGTATTTTATTTCTTGCTTCATTTAATCAAATATATGCAGTTGACAGGTTCATTTGCAACACAAATTTAATGTTCAAAAAATTTTATAAATTTTATTCGGGGTGTAATAAAAATCATGATGGGTTTCTTTCGGTTTAACTTTGATATCAGCTTTATTTTTGTTTATGTGTCCATCAGCAAACACACCAAATAAGTAGCCTAGTTGCTCACTAGCACAATTACAGCAATTTGTTCAAAACAAAATTGAAATAAATGCTTTCAACTAAACAAAACTTCTATAGTTATTGAGAGTTATAACAATTTATTAAATATTATTAAGGAATGTGTAGTTGTTCACTTTTTATAAAATAATAAGCAGTAGTCCACTGTGACTTTAAATTAAATTAAAAATGATTATCAGACTACTTAAACATGTTGTGTGGTTGAATTATTCATTTATACTTTCTTTGATATACACTTATACAACAGAGCTTTCTGCGTGCGCCCACACTGGTATAGTAATCGTTATTATGCTAAGCAATGCATATCCTATTAATCACAATGGACATCCACATTGACTTTTATTTATTTCAGCACACACAACTACACTATTATAGAGAGAAATTATTATTTTAATCAAATTTTGACAATTTTAATTTTTTCCACAAATTTCTTACGTTGACTTAGATTTCAATAATTTATATTTTACACTCCTCCTTCTTCAAGTGTTTTTTTTTTAATTTTTAATAGGATGACTGATATGTGCGTGTGTCTTTGGGTATCACTGTTTGAGTGTCCGGACGAGCGACTCCCACATCACCCGATGCAAGTGGTGTCAGTAGAGTTCGCCAAAGGCCAGCGCGGGGTGACTGCCCACCGAGTTGTCGTCCACCAGCTGCGGCTGCGGTCCCAGGTCAAGGGGTTGCGACGACACCGAGCTCGGCCCTAGGCTGTTGGGGTCGATCTGCGGGGGCGGCTGCGGCTGCTGGTGGTTCTCCTGCCGCATCATGTTGCGTCGCCACTTGGCCCGCGCGTTTTGAAACCAAACCTGCAATCATTTGGAGCACACCAAAATTTTAATGAAACGTTAAGCTGTGAATTTACAAACAATTTATTTATATAGAAAGTTTTAAAGTAATGCAATGAAGATATGAAAAGAAATACTTTTTAAATATAAACTATATTATGGAAACAGAAATAAGATTTCGTGGGGCCAGTTTTTTTTATCACCCTCACTTGATTTTTATACAACTAAATTATAGTTAAATAAGTTTGTGGTATTAATTTGAATTGTGAGTGTATTTTTTAAGTATAATATTTTGAACTTTTAACAATATTAAATTGAAATAAATGGATGTTTCACCTTTTATTTAAGCTACCATGTTTTTTTGTGTGAAAAACTATTTATTTTAAATAAAACTGTTATCATATGATATGATATAATTTGCTCTTTCTTATTGTTTTTAATCAGCTTGGTGAGTTGGATCAAATGAAAGACACGCACCTGCAAAACTCGTTTCGAGAGGCCCGTCTTTTGGGCCAACTGTTTGAGATCCTTGGCGTCCGGATTCTGGTTGATTGCAAAGTACGACTTCATGGTGCGCAGCTGGTGGTGCTTGAACGAGGTCCTCATCCGCTTGGTCCGCTGCCCTGATTGTTGGTGACCTCCGGAGCCAGTTCCAGGGTTGCCCGGCGAGGACGCCGACGATGAGTCAAACGCTAATTGCTCCAACGGACCTGCCAGCTCGCCGGGGTGCAGCATTTCTGACGGAAAAGAGCAGAATGCTACTTTTACTCTATTATTTTTCTTTGAAAGTTTGTAAGATAATTGATAACAATTTAGGTGTAAATCATTAAAAAAATATATTACAATTGAAATAAAAGTTCGCCAAGAAGATGAATATAAAATTTTGTAATTTTGGCTTCATTATGTTGACAGATGGAGTAAATACAATAAAAATATAACAAAGGAAAACGACTATTTAGCCAAAGTCTAACAATAAGAGGTGCTTTTCTAATAAAAATTGTTAATTTTTATGAAAATAATTTGTTTACTAATTTTTTGTCTAAATAATTCTTAGCCCGGAGCTTGAACAGGTAGAGTGATAAAATATGTTTTACTATGAAACAATAAAAGGTAAGAAACCCAATGAGAAAAACTCGGAAAAACTGACTTTCAATTAAAATTTACCTTGAATCGTGAAATTTAAAGAAAAGATTGCATCTGGTCATGGGGCAGATTTGAAAAATTAGTTCTTTATCCAATTTTGATTTTTTAAGGTTGTTAAGTGAAAAGCTTCTCATTTGAGTGAACTAGTTTCTTTTCAAAATTTTTCACAGAGCCAGGGTAGCAAAAAAAAAAAAGAAATTTGCAACTGCATGAGCTTTTGCTGGAACTGCTATACTTTTTCGCATTATTTTCAGCCTTTGGCGGGTTGCTTTTGTATTTTTCCAGCAGAGCAGCGAAATAATGCTCGAGTACGTCTGCACAAAGCTGCAAAAATACAAGCAGTGGGTGCTCGCTAGCGCTGGAGAGAGAGAGAGGCAGAATTTATTTATAAAAAAAGAATAAAAAGGGAGTGCAGAGCTCCATGTTTGTGCCCGAGGCTTTGTCATTGGTCGTGTTCGGCTCCCAGACACCCTCCGCAGACTCGACTTTTTATTATCCAATGGTGGAATCTATATTGCGATTGTCATCGGCATATAAAATATTTGTGAATGTGGTGGTGCCGCTGGATGGAGCTTTTTCGGTGCTCGGCTCCGGCCCACCCACCAAGACCGGCTTGGGAACAAGAAAACTTGCTGGCCCTGCGCTAAAAGGAGGGGCGTCCCATCTTGTGTTCGCCGTCCGCATCACAAATAAATATTTAACAACATTCACACAAGCAACACATCTCCCTGTGAATAAAAAAAAAATAAATCGGCAAATCGTGCTCCGAAAGATCATTCAGAGGGAGGGGAGCTTGTTTGCATAAAAATGCTAGACGACCACAAAACCATCAGGGCGTGGAATTTATTCAGCATTGAGCCGTCTCTTGACTGTGGAATATAAAATTTGTCATACTCGAGCCTCGAACAAATAATTTTCCATTTGAGATAAGATTATCTTTAAAAAAATACAACTACCATGAAAATTTGACGCAATGCAAACAGAAATTATATAGCATTACTTGAAATATTTTAAGAAAAATTTAAATAATAGATAAAAATGTTTTAGTTTTTCTGTCAATTGTTTCAAATTTTATGAAATATTTAAATCAAAACTGGCTTTTATAGCACTACCTCTAAAAACATTACGCATTCATTAAGATACATTTCTCATTGAACTAATTAGATGGTTCTCTACACTACAATATGCTGACGAATAAGTGATTTAATTAGTATTAATTGCTTAATTTTTATCAAATTTAGATGCAAATTCGGAAATTTTAATGAGCAAGATTTAAAAAGATCATACTTAAAAAATTATTAAAGCAAATTGCGAACCTAAGAATACAAATTTTATTTTTTAATGAATGAAAATTTATGAAATGCATAAATATAACAGCAATAATTAACACCAATGATATTTATATTTTCTGGGTGGTCTTGTGAATAGCGTAGACACATAAATCACACTGGTCGCGCGCACCTCCGAGCGCATTGCACTCAACAAAGAAAGTGAACTACATAAGTCCATTGTTCTGCGCGGCTCTGCGAAATATCAAAACACGAGCATATTCCCACCCACACCGACGCTGCCCTTGTACGAATGTAATGAATGGCACATCACTCATTTCTCACTCCAGCGAAAGAAAAAAATAAAAAAAACTTTACCTCTGCAATATAGTTTCTGAGCACACTCATGCATGCATTGTCCGACATTCATTAGCGAGAATGGTTTGGGCAAATATTTAAAGAGCTTTATGGCCTGTGTTTATTTATTTTTTTATTGTTCTCCCATGCAGAGCGCGCAATATTGTATTCTAGCGATTGTTGTGCCAGCCGAGGGAAATAAATATCACTCAAGTGCAGATCAAATAAAGGAGAGCTCGGTGCGCGGGGGCAAATGATGGAGCGGCCTATTGCATGAGTGCCGAAACGAGCGAGCACTTTACGTCAAGAATGGCGAATGGCCCGCCGCAAAGCGGATTTGGCCATTCAGATTGACCCCAGCAGGTATAAGGGGCACTAGCTCGCTTATCTCTCACTAGGGTTCATTTCATATTATATTATTTAAAAAAAAAAAACAATATTGATGGGAGAAAAATGGACGATTTTATGTTTTCTGAATAACTTGCACTGTTTCTCAATGCAAAATTTTAATAACTTGTTATTTTAATGAAATATTGCAGCGTGGAAAAAATTACTTGAAATCTTAATTTAAAAACAATGGCTTACAAAATCAGTGAATTTATAAATTTTGAAGAAGTTGACACTCGAGGAGATGATCATAGAAATGAATGAATCGGGCTTTTCTTCTTTGCAGAAATTGTTTTTTTTTTTTATTCAAAAGCCATTTGTTTTTGAATAATTACAATTTCTGCAAAGAGGAAAAGTCCGATTCATTCATTTCTAATTTATTTATTATTTTTATTTTTGGGGTCAGGCCAAAACAAAGTGTCTTATCGCCCTTATCGGCCTGTGCCCTTCATTGAGCTTGCGGAAGGCAAGCTCCAATCTTATAATAATTCTTTTGAAAATTGTCCTGTTGAAGTAAAATTTTTATATGGATTTGCTCCTTGTTTTTGTTTTCCAAAGTTCTGATGAAATATAAAAAAATAAAATTTTTATATAGCCTGGAAGGCGTTTTGGTGAATATGCCATAAAATTTGGAAAAATCCGTTGTAGTAATATAGGAAAGATTTTGAAGATTCAGTGCTAATTTAAAGCTACGATTAAAGTTGCTTAAGAAATATTTGAAATTTAGAATGCCAATAAAATTAGATATAGTTATAAATTATAATATAATTTTTAAGGTCTTATAATTAAGATAAATAATTAAATATTAATATTTATTCAACTAATTGCAAATCTTTTATAATAACCTTTAAAGATCCTCTCCGGTCAATTGTATTGCTCTTTATTCTGAAAGATTGCTAAATTTCGAGTATATCTTGTGAAAACACTAATTGAAAATTCCAAACCGTTGCGTCTCAATCAAAGGAAAACCTAAATACGAGTGATTCGCGCGAAAAACGTGTGAGAATTGAGTAGCCAATCAGATCCATCAATCATGGTCCAAAAACTACAGAATTTGGTCACATTGGCGCTGCGATCGCTGATTTTGCCAAGTAATCTGCAGCGCCGTGGGGCATTAGTGGCAAAATCAGCGATCGCAGCGCCAATGTGACCAAATTCTGTAGTTTTTGGAACAAACTGATGGATCTGATTGGCTACTCAATTCTCACACGTTTTTCGCGCGAATTAGGTTTTCCTTTGATTGAGACGCAACGGTTTGGAAATTTCAAATAGTGTTTTCACAAGATATACTCGAAATTTAGCAATCTTTCAGAATAGAGAGCAATACACTTGACCGGAGAGGATCTTTAAACAAAGCACACTTAAAGAGTGAAAAATATTAAAACCGTAAAATCGAGTCAGAAAAAAATTGACATCTGCTCACAAATCGACTGGAAAAACTCCGTATATTTTCTTCAAGCACCGTCAATTCCTTCAGCTGCGGCTGATTAAGAGACGATAAAAAAGCAGCGGAAAGTCACGGGCAATCGAGAATCAAGATTCCAGTTGTGTGCTTTACTGATTGAGAGGATGTGACTGCAGCTCAGACGCCAGCCGGCACATGCGTCTCCGGCGTGCAGCAATTTTAAACAAAGTGCACCGCGCCGCTTTTCAAATTCCGCCCAGTTTCTGCATGTGATCCAGTTTTTTGCATACAATAAACGAATTGAAATGCAGACGTGCGTGTGTCTGGCCTGGTGCGAGACTACAAATAATATCAAATCAACGCCCAGAATTTCAATATGGAGACCGTGCGCAAATTGGCTCAAGTCATAAAAGGGATAATCGTCGCAGACATTGCATTTTTTGCAATTAGTCACCACATAATTCGAAAACTGCAGTATATTTTAAGTATATTCTTCAATGTACCTCAGATAAAAAACTTAAATCAAACTTTATTTTTGCCAAATTTACTGTGGGGAGATGAAGTTGCTATGAGAAAAGTTTCATTTATTCTAGTCAGACAGATTTCAATAATATTCTTTTAAAAAATTTTGTCATAAGAAGATAATTAATTAGAAAAATTTACTTTCTTGAGACTTATAAGAAAACAATGATTCTAGATTTTACAACTTTTCTACTCACCCAAAACAGGTGGAATTCGAAGACCGACGCTCTGCAGGTCTGCGTCCTGAGATTTTCTTTTCCTCGGCCGACCTTTCTGGCCGCCGGTGCTGCCGTTGAAGAAACCCGTTCTGCTTGGCGACCCTATCGGCAGGTCAGCGGCCACGGTGTGCCCAGCAGCCGTGAAGTCAGACATCTCCTCTTCCTCTCCACAACATTCACCACTGTTTTCAAAAAGACAAGAAAACAAATAAAATTTACTTGAGTAATAAAAGTAAGTAATTTTTTGAACTGAAAAAAATTGAATATTATTATTTATTTCAAACCCTTTTCACCAAATAAACTTCGATCATCAATTTTTTTTCTTCAAAATTACCAGTCACGATTTTATGCAAACTAAAACCTAAATTATATTTATATTAGATTAAGTCTCTTCTCTCAAAATATCATTTTTTTTTATTTTTTTTTAACTGGCAAAGATCTTAATTTAACTATATAAAAGGGTGAAGTGTAAAATAAACATGAACTTCTAAAATCATGATTGAATCATGTTTGAGAAGAGAAATTTCCAAATTTGCACCATAACAAGAAAATTTAATTTTAAATTTTGAATTCCTTACAGAACTAACCCTGAGCTCATGGAGTGTAAAGGGTGGTTGAGATCAGAATGTGGTGCAAAGACCTGGAGCTCCTCGTAGTGCACCCTGCAGAAGACGAGGCTGTCCCTCATGCCAAAGTGGTCGCCTCTGGACAACGGCCGCTCGCAGTGGGCGCACCTGAAGCAGCCCACGTGGTACACGAGGTCGCGGGCACGCATCACCAGTTCGTGGGCGGAGATGGCCGCCTGGCAACGGGCACATCTTTTCGACGCGAACAATCTGAAATTTGATCAATACAACAATTTGATTACTACTTCCTTTTCCCGGTTCAGATTTCTTAAAGAAAGCGGCAGCCTGCGAGGCAGTGGCGTCGAGCAGGTTGCATAAATCACGATGACGGCATTGAAAATCTCCAATTTCAATCGATCATGGTTTCAATCTGAATTATTTTATTTTTTACTTGGCCATGAAACCGAGAAAATGGGAAATTTTTACTAAATTATAAATATGGTAACAGCTACATTTAAATTAAAATTAAATAAAACACTAAACTTTAATCAAAAATTTAATTAAATTTATAAGGTGGTATTGTTTTACTCCAAAGTCATGTAATGAATAATATGTATATATATTTTTTAAATAATGTTTTTCTGAAGATTCATTGAATTGTTGCAATCACACTGTTTACATTCAATCAGTTCTAACATAATAAATACATAATATATTTTTAAATCATATTTTTTTATTTTAATTTTTTTTCTATCCTTGCACTCCAACAATCATGTTTTTCCTCGCATGCCATAAAGCGTTGACTATGTTTTGTTTTTATTAGGCTGACTTTTTAAGGTGCTAAAGAGGCGTTTCGAATTAATGTTTCGATTTCGCACATTAGGCGCGGCAAGATGCATTCGCGCCGTCGCCACGTACGGCTCTCTCATTGTTTATTCCGCCGATCATTAATCTCAAAGACTCGGCCTGAGCCAAAAGAGTGTAAAACGCTTCTCAGATTCGCTCTTTTTCTTTCGAGTGCTCATTTGGCGTGGTAATGACTTTTGTACGGCGCGGCAGACAAGTAAAAATGGCCGGCAGATAGAATCTACTGCGAATAAATGTATTTTGTTGGCCCAACAGAAATGAATTAGTAACAAGGCAGAACGACAAATAATAACAAAAACCCGTGGACGGACGCAGGCACGGACTGTCCTCTGCGTGCCAAAAAATATAATATTACTATCGATGTTGCTTATTTGTCCCATTTTTAATCAATGTTTAAAATAAATTTTTTGCTGAAAAGAAAAGATTTGAACAAAACTTCATCATCACTAAGCAAGAATTTTGCTTTAAACTTCTGAGAACAGAACGATCCCAGATTTACTAAAATAAATTTAGTGAACATACTTTATCTTTAATTCTTAGATATTTCAATCTTCAAACGGAAATTAGAGTGAGATCATATTTCCTAGATAAATAAGAATTTCTTTTAAAACACAGTCCGTTCCTGGTGAGTTCAGTCAGATATCAACGAAAACTGGGCAGGGAAAACACACAGCTGCGCTATTAAACTCACACACAAGCTGGGTGGGCTCGGCACTTTAAGTGTAGGAATATTGAATGTGTTATCGCCATTATGGGGAGGTGAGTGACGGCTATTGAGAAAATATATATAAGGTGGGAGTGTGAAAATGTTTTAACAAGCTGTTGCCTTTTATTTTTAATGATATCAACGCGCCACTCGGACCGCCTCATTTCATTTTATATTCATCTCTGTGTGAATACACATTAAAATAAATAAACTCTCGCGGCTCCTTGGCGCCAACCAAACCGCAAAATTGAGGTTGCATTTTATCGCGTTATCGGCCGCTGCCAGCTTCCGACGAAGGCAGATTTCTTCCCCAAAGAGATTTGCGGTTTTTGGTTTTTCTCGCAAGAAACTTTGAACAGCTTCTTAGACTGCGATATCGGTCGCAGCTTGGAGATTATGTGGCCGACGACGTGGTTTTTCCTGACTGATAAACATAACTACAGACTGGGTCTATTTGACTTGAGCCTGCTCAAACTTGCAATTTGAATGAATTTGTAGAAGCAAAGACAAAAATGGACTTGTACAAAACTCATTCTTTAATTTTGAGGTAACGATCCTAAAATATAAACAGGAAACAAATTGTAAGGGGATTATGTCAATTAAAGAAATTATAAATAAATAATTTAAGAAAATTTAATCAATTTTAGTTTAATGTTATAAGGATGACTTATAATTATTTCTTAATTAATTTATTACTGCAAAATACCTTCTGAGAATTGTGTCGTCATTTTTATTCAAAATATATGTGAGGCTAAAAACGAATTTTTGGACTCTACAAATAAAACAAAAACTGTTTGAGATTTTGCTCCAATTTGAGGCAGTTGAGCTTTTACCGTTTTTTTTTTCTAATTTTACCATAACTGAATCTTTATATTGGGTTAATTTTAAATTCAAGGGTTATTTTTCATAATTCTAGTCAAGTTGCAATGTACAATTAACCAATATTTTAATTTAATGTTATAGTTACCCCTGTGAAAGTTAATGAACTTTATTTTTAGTATATATTTTTTCAAATTGGATCAGATCTGCCTGTCGATTTGGAATGAAATTCGCTTTCTGAAAGTCAAAGGTTTCAGTTTTCCCAAGAGCAGTACTTTCCTTTCTCCCATTATATGTTTTACTTTTCCACTTTTGAGCATGGCAGTAGCAGAAGCAGCTTGGGGCGAAATGAGCACTTCTTCTTCTTTTGCATTCAGAAGCTGTTGGCTGCCAGTCGGGAGAGAAGGTCGGGCGGGAGAGTATTTTTAGTACATTATCAGAAAGCTGTGGAGCAGCGCAAGAATTATGATCCGTGAGAGAGAGAGAGAGAGAGAGAGAGTCTCTCCCTCGCTCGTGGCCTCTCCGAGTTGGCTGCTGCGGTGGTGCGCTATTGATTTTAATTCCACCCGTCATCAGCCGAGAGGGATGAAAAACTACAGTGTGCGACTCTGACTCTTGTGTCTCCAGGCGGTACACTCGCTTTCAGTCTCAAAAGCTAATGCACTAAAATAAAATGAGAGAGAGCGAGAGCGAGCAACCCGACGCGACTCACCTCTTTCTGGCACACCAGTTTTCAAAAAGCATAAGAACTTTTTCAAGTTTAAACTTAATTAAAGGTTGTGATATTAGCTGCACAAAGATTAGAAAATTTATTCTACCAAAATAAGCCTTAAATATTTTTTTTTTTACTATATGATTTCAATGATCTTGGAAAAGTTTATTTAAATAAGTCAATTTTTCAATTGGTTCTAAATTGGTTTTTTTTAGGTGGCAACCTCTAATTTAAAGTTTGAGATATTTGCAGTGTTATAACAGTATAAAAGCAACCCTTGTGAACAAAAATCTAACAATAAGTTTCCCAGACATCAACTTATGTTAAGATTTATATTCGATATGTATTGCTTTAATATGCTTAGAAATGGGTAATTTATATCAATATCAATGATATCTAAGGTGGCATTTAAGAGACGGTAAGAGCTAGCGGAATTATTTTTGTTATTGTTTATTTACTTCCCTTTTAGCAAAGTATTAATTTTTTTTATTTCGTCTATTTTGAATAATAGAGTCGCTACAGATGTAATTAAAAATGATTCCAAATCATTTCCATGCACATTTTAATAATATATGAACTCTTTTTTTAAACAAGATTAGTCATAATTTTAGAACGATATAAATTTTTGCAATACACTGACTTTAAAAAAATATTAATAAATCCATTTATTTATTTATTATTTTTTTTACTGTATACAGCTTTTAAAAAATCCATTCCGTATATACTATTTGAAAACAGACATAACTTTAATTTTTGTGTGTTGTTCTGAAAACTAATACCAACTAATACAAGGCGTTTTACGTGAGAGCTAGGAGCAGGAGTTGTCTTATTATTATTATTTGAAAAATGCCCGTAAAAGTTAACAGCCGCAGTCGGAACAAGCGAAACGATTTGAATGGGCAGCGTGTATTAAATAAAAGGTTTGAACTGGCATTTTGATATGCTTTATGGAGCCATTAGTCAGCGAGCAATAACAATTTGGCCGTCTCTGCCCTTTTCCCGCGTGTCCAATGAGAAGTGGTCAGTCAGAGAATATATATGCGAAAAATTTATTCAAGATGAAGCAATTGCTGCTGGTCATTTATTCAAAACATGGAGTGCGCGTACAAATTCTGAAACACGCATCGAAATCGGTGTGCGGATAAGAAGAGCGGCTACATGATAACAATGCAGCAGCGGCCACATTCCACGTGTGCACACATCACGTACTCTTATAAATCTTAAAAGGAAGCGAGACCATCTCAATGTGTCTGGCCGCGAGTACACGCCACTCTGCTCACTTTGTGCGCTCGCTCGACCTGCGTGCAATTATAATGAATACGGCAACATAAATTCCTCTTTTTACATGCGCCGGAGAAACGTCAGGGATTTACTCACTCGTGTGTGCGCGAGTGCATTTTTTTACTTCCATCCACCAGCATTTCTTTATTTAGCTTTGATAAATGTACAAACGCACTCCATAACCCCGTTTGCTAACGTGCCGACGATTGTGGGAGAAAAATGGAGAGAGACTTTGTTCTTTTCGCAAATAATGAACTTGAGTGATTGAGTTAGTGGATTTTCTCTTCATTCAAATTAGTTCAATCTTAAAAATAATGGGCGCTGTTCTCTTGTCTTAGTTCTCCCGGTATAAAAGTTATCCCGGAATAAATCCATAGGTATAAACTTCATCCCGATGTCCTTTTTATCCCACCTGAATTTTTTTTATCCTGCAAAACTCATTCGAGACAACTTTTCCTAAAACCGCGTCAACGGGATGAACATTTGAAACGAGCTATTATTGAATGGGCTGTTAATTAAAACACTCCTGAATATTTGTAAAATTTAAACAATTTTAAATTCAATTGGACACTGCTAGCCTGCTAGGCTGCTAAGCTACGAGGCTACTAAGTTACTAGGCTGTTAGGCTTCTAATAATAATAATTTAGATTAACGAATTGGAATTCAGTTAATTTTTGTTAAGAAATTTGAAATAATATACTTTCTATTTATTTTCATTTTATTCAAACCAGAAAAACGGATTGAGATTTGAGAGAATGAATAACAAAACACAAGAGAAAGAGCAAAGTGTTGTTGGTGTGCGAAGGAAAGGTCTAGCGAGGCAACAAATCAGTCGGAACGATTAATGAGCGACGGGCCCGAAGAATCTGTCGCGTTTTGTCAGGCGCGTGAGTGATGCTCTGCCATTGTTCCAGCGCGCAGCAGAGCCTAAAATAATCCAGTCAGCCTTTTCTTCTTCTCGCAGGCTAATTGAAGAGCCGCGCGACAATAATCGGCGCATTGTGTGCAGATAAGCCCCCGAAACAAATCTTCTTCGAGAGTGTATTATATTTATTTTTATATATTGCGCACTCACTGAATTCAAAAGCAGTCCGTAGTGAGAAGAAGCAGGATGTTTATTCGCTGCTCGATCGCTCACAATGCGGCGAATTTTTTGCCCAATAAATTTAACATGCAAACTCCATATTGAGAGAAACTGAAAAGAGAAACTGGGACTCTGCGGAGAGACACATTGTCATTGTTTGGCCGCGCGCGAGCACCGCCGCAAAAAGATTATCTTTTGATGCCAAATCTGGTATATAAGCGACGTGTTTTGTGAAATCCCGGCCAAGAGCAGGACCACCGGAACAGTAACAACCGTTAAGAACTGTCACAGAGGCGAAAATTGTACATATTAAATGCAGCGGAAAAATGAAAAGAAAAACTACACTGGTGTTTTTTACAATAGCTAAGAATTTGTAAAATGCAAAAAAAAATAATAAAATTTAGTGATAAGATGCAATATGAAATCAATTTAATTAAACGGTTATTTCTGTTTTATTTTTAAGTGTTTTAAAACTTTTAAAAAGAAGAGTTATTCATAATAACTCAATGTACTCAAGACAGAAAATTGAAATCTCATTCATTTAATTTTTATAAGTTTCCCTTTAACACCAAACAGGGAAAGATAAATCAGATTATAAAATATGGGGGGGGGGGTAGGTTTCCTTTTTTTATGATGATTTTTTTACTCAATTTGCACAGGGAAATCTAATAATTTTTAAATAAAACTTGGCAACGAGGTTGACCTAATTGTAATTTATGCTCTTCTTTGAGATGTATTTTGTTTATATCTCACCTCATCTCACCTTTTTATGACAATCAAGAAAATTGTTTCAATAACAACATTGGAGGAAAATAAATTTATCATTTTCAGTAGCATTGAATTGTTTGTTGTGCTCACATAAGGGCCACAAAAAGCAAACTTATCCAATTAAAAAAAGAGGCAAAATTTGAATAATACAAAAAAAATGATCTCTAAAATAAATGGAAAGATTAACTTATTTTAATAATTACTTAAAATCTGAAAAAAATTTATATATATAAAGGTAATCAATTAAATTAATCAATTTTCCTCAGTGAAATTGAAATTTGGACTAAAATAAACAGAAGTCTCAAAGAGATTTTGATTCAAAAGAAGATCTAAAACCTTGTTAATTAGAACGTTTCATTTTGAGCAAAACTGTTAAACATTCCATTTGAACGGCTTTAGCATTTATTTCCATTGAATTATTTTTAAATATGTCATAGAAATCTGCAGCCATTTCAATTTTATATGGATTTATAGGACATGTTATTTTGCTGACGGCCTAATGAGACAACATTCTCATAGATCGGCGTGTGATAAAAGCGCATATTTAAGTGGCGCTGACGAGTTGCATTTTAAATCATGCGCTCAGTTAAGGGTCAAATTGCTACATGGTGCAGCGTTTTAAAAGTAGCAGCTTGTTGTTGCGAGTGTCCGCCCATGCAGCGAGTGTTGGATAATTTTTTGCCTGGCGTTAATAATTCACACTCGGCTTGGTTCGGAGACGTGAATGCAATCCTGAAGAGCGCGCGTCCGTCATGAGCTTCATTGATTATTCATCGCGAGGTGCGGCGACGGCTGAACCAATACCGGCCGCCGCGAATAATAAATAAATTTGACCCGCGGGTGGTTTGAATAATAGTATGCCTACAGGTACGGTGGGTGGGCCGCCGTCGAGCCCAGCGCGCGTGTATTATTCATTAAGAAGTCGCACTTGGCGCGCTGACACCAATTACCCGCATCGCAGCTCGTGCTGTGTAAGAAGTGTATATATTTGTATTGTAAACCACGGCCAGCGTGAATTATCCTCTCCGTGTTCATTCAAAAGATTTCATAATTGTTGTAATTTTTCAAACAGCTGCAATAAATTTACTGCAAGTTATCATTTATTTTATAATTTGTGTGTAACGGTCAAAATTCCATAAATTTGAAGAACACAAAAGACAAAAATGAGTCAAGGAGTACAAAATTTTGTTGATTTCTTAATACTTAGATAATATTTGTCCACAAAATATATTATTTTAAAATATGAACACAATTTTTTTGTTGTAATTTTTTAAATTAAGACATTTGCAAACATTTGCTAAATAACTGGAAAATTCTTTAAAAATTTATTAATAAAATTGAATTTTAATTAATTAAATTTAAAATATTCAAGAGTAAAGTAAAATTAAAAATAAGAAATTTGCAAAAATATACTTCATATTAGTTTTAGTTAAAATTATGACGTTTAGTTGTATTCAACTACCAAAATATGATTTGCAACGATTGACAAATTCATTCATAATTAAGCAAAGTTTATTTATTTTTCCTTATTCCCTATGAACATTGAAAGAATAAAAAAAAACGAAATAATGCTTTTGCTGAAAATTTAGGTTAAACATATTAAATTATGTAAAGGCTACAATCGTTTTTGATTTTTTTTACAGCAAAATCGCCTTTTTTCTTAACAAATTAACACTTTTTATCTTGGTTAAAAGGGAAAAAATTAAAAATTCAATGCTCCCTGACTTGCATAATTATGAAATGACTATAATTATGAAATAAATTTGTAACTTCTACCTGTAATAGTCCTTCTTGCAGTAGATGTTGCTCTCCTTGACGAAGCAGGTGCCGTCGGGGCCAAGGGGCGTCTTGCACTCGCAGCACTTGAGGCACCCCGAGTGCCACTGCTCGTCCACGGCCAGCAGGAAGAAACGGTCTTTGATGCGACCCCCGCAGCCGTAGCACGCGTCGTAGCTGCCGGGCCCCTGAAGGCCTCCTTCGTCCTGGTCCTTGAGCATGTCCCCGAGGCACGCAGGTCACAACCGTCTCATCCGCACCCGCAAATTAACAACATCACCTGCAAAATTAAATTAAAATAAAATTGTCTCATTTTTTAAAAATTTAAATAAAAAATATTTTCATTACAAAATAAAATTATTTCTTAAAATTAAAATGTTTTTTTTAATAAATATTAAACTTTTGTTCAATTTAATAAGCTAGTTAACTATTAATAAAATAATAGTTAAAGGATACCGCGTTATAACTTCTTCATAAATAATTTTTTTTTTTTATTTTTTTTTTTTTTTTTTGGAAAAAAAATAATATAATTATACTTTGAGCTCACAGCAATACATCATGATTGCATTTGTATCAAGATAAAATGTTGTAGCCATTGAAGTTTTATTCAGTGCGGATATGCATAATAATTGATCAAAAATAATTTATAATTAATAAAGATTTCTTTGAAATGGATGTTATTCAGAAACATGAAGGTTTAAATTCGCATTTTTCTTTATATCTCTTATCTTTCAAGATTACCCAATTTCATTCCAAAGCTCATTCAAAGGAGTTGACTAAAAGCTATGTCATTTCCAAGCACTTTTAAACAAATAGAAAACACCAATACTTGTAATCATCATTCAATTCCTTGTTATTCCTTGCTATTTGGAGTTTCTGATCCTTGGACTAGAGATTTCCAATTCAAAGGAATGAGATTGTGATAAATTCTTTTACTATTAAATTATAAAGAAATCTTTATTTCAGATAGTTAAATAATATAATGTTTAATTAGCCCAACTTTTCGCGATGGATCCGGTCATTTTACTTTTCATATTAAAACCGTCACAGCGGCGTGTGTGCTGCTGGTTGCTTTTAATGATGCGACGGCGAGAGCGGCGCGCGTGTGCGATTCCCTCTCTTGATTGAATTCAATGGACGCGAGACGGGTCAATACGTTCAGTCAGTCGTACGTGTACGTGCACAAATACACACACATTCGATTTCGCGACTAGCTTGTCGTCTCATTAGTCAAAAGTCGATGACTGGCAGGCACCCCTCTTTCGCTCTTTGGCAAAATCCGCCACGCGTCCCAAAGCTTATCGCGAGTGACGCTGCGGGGAAAACATAACAGTTTGCATTTTGTGTTGTTTATTTAACGCATGAAAGAGAAAGGGCACCTGCGCTTGTTCACAGCGAATTATCTATACAACAATTTGTGCGGCTGATTCTTAAATTATCACCACGTTTGTCGGTAATAGGGAAAATATGGCAGTTGACGTCTTTTGTTTTCGACAGCAGTAATTTTCATTTCAATTTTTGACGCAAGAATATCCGTATGTATCATACTATTGATTGAGAACACAAATCAGACTCATCAATTGGTATTTGTTTAAAAAAAATTAAATTTTTATTACATGACGCCTTAATTATCAAGGTAATATATTTCCTTGTGAACAAAAATACATATCACGCAACGGAGGAAGAGCAGTAAAGGTATTGAATGAATGGGAGTATAGATTGGGGCTATATAGGTAAAAATTTATAATAATTTTTTTTCTTATTTTTAATAGTAATTTTCTTATAAGGCCACTTATAAAACTCATTTGGAAGCATAAAATTATAGCTTTCATTAAATTATATTAACTTAAAATCTTTATTATCTAAAATAATGTAAAAATACTAAAAATAATTTCAGTTCAAATATCAAGAAACATTTTTAGATGTAATTTTTAATTATATTTAAGCCTTTATTTTTTATAAATATCAGTTTAACAACTGCTCAAGTTGGCTGAATAGAGATTTAGCCGGCTTTAATTTTTTTCGAAAACGATTTCTGACTTCGGACCCTGTCTGATCTCTGCAGTGAATGGATTTATCATGTTTTCCTTTAAACCTCCCCAATTAGTGGAGATTAACAAGCAACTTATGCAACACGCGCGTCTCCCCTGCGCAGCAGGCTGCTGAGGGAGAAATATCCAGGGGTTTATTCTTCCGGCCTCTCACAAGAGCAGCTCTCTCCATCTCCACCCCCTTTACACTCACAATACACAAACACACACATAATTTTGATTGAGTTATTTTATTGTTTGTCAACGTGAAGTTTTTCTGAAAAGCTGGAGCTTTTTTATTGCAGAGCATGCACGCGCATGAAGAGAGGCGTGAGAAAAAGCCAGCAAATGTTTAGAAAGTAATATACTCTAGAAAGAGTCCCATTTTAATTCAGTCAAAGTGAAATAAATTCTCAAAAATTGATGTTTTTTCGAATCAGACCATTCTGATGCCGAAAGTATATCGCAAGAAATTTTAATAACTGGTTAAGTTAATGAATATTCGTTTTCTTGTGAGAGAGAGAAAATTTGAAATAAAAAGGCACTTCTATTAATAAAAATAGTTGAATTATTCCTTGTTCCACGAGAGTTATAAACAAAAAAGTAAAAAAAAGTTAATCAAAAGAAGATTTTATTTTTTATTTTTAACCTTTATCAATGATACTGTATTATTATAGCTTTAAATTTGTATACTTCATTATTTGATTTTTACTTCAATGCTATTTTTGTTTGAAAGAATGTTTTTTATTAATTATTTAGAACTTTAGATTCATCGGAACTTCATATAAAGCGTCATTGAATCAAAATAAGAAATCAAATTGCCATTCAAGAGACGTAAAGCCGGAGCACAATGGGAAGTGTGCCGCACGAATCTCTTTCCTCTTTCTCTCTCAAGTAGTCAATCAAGCAATTATCTCTCACGCATGTTTAGTACTCGGGAAGCCGCAGCACTCAAGGTGATGGAAACACACTCATCAGCAATTAAGCGATAATAAATATTCCTCACAGCTCGCTCGCTCGCGCCACTCTTTTAGCCAAAACGGAATGCGCCGAAAATCCTAATATGCGCAGAAATAAATTCCCGAAAATTCCACAGATGTTATCCCGTCACTCACCATACTTGAATAATTTTGCAGCTTGTAGTAATTACACGCACACATTGTTCTTCTTTTCCTGCTCCCCCAATTATATGTTAACGCTTTTTATCAAAGCGGCGCGAGCGCGGCCTTGTTCTTTCACCTCGCAGCCGAGAGATGTGCCGCGGCGACGACGATCATTTTTGTAGCTGACGCGTGTAAAAAATGGGTAGAACATTAGCGCGCCGAGAGCTGCAGCACGTACATTTTATTGGGAAAAAAGTTTCGACGCGGCTTTGAGGAGAGAGCAGGTGCGTTGCTGCCACGGCAAAAAATAAGCAAAACTGCCGCTGCTGCTGTTGGGAGAAAAAGGGTGCTCTTTTGGCACAACAAGACGTCTTTTCAAAGCCGGAAGCTAAAGAATTTAGATCGAGCATCTGGTAAAATAGCGAAATTAAATGAAATGGATCAGAATTAAGCAGATTGTAAACATAACGGAGAGAACATAAAATTTGATTATTTTGCACTGTACGTATTTGAATATTTAATGTATGAATCGAATTTTTATTTTGTTTAGTAATATCTTAATTTGGCAAAGGCCTTTTAATTAATGTGGAAAAGATGAAAATTATATAAAATTTCATATAAATATCCATCATATCGGACGAAATATAAATCTTTTATCTAGCTCATTTTTTCAGGAAGAAAATTTATATTTTAATTCATGAAAAGTATGACTATTGAATGAAAAATGTGATTACTAAAAATGATATCTTAATTGTTTTTCCGTGGAAATTCCTTCTTTCATAGATTTTATTTCGTAAATTATAAAATTAATGGTCAATGACGATGTATGCGTTTTTTACTTTTAATGAAAAGGTAAGCCCAAAGTGAATTAATGAAATTTTAAAGTGGTTGCCTTCAACCAATACCCTCAGCAATCATTGCTTAATTTATTTCTTAAATCGCATCAAATCACAATAATTAATTGTATTAAAAGGTTTCTAAAATTAAACCGTTGAATTATTTATAAGTTGCTTATTCTTTGAATGAAATTATCCGACAGTAATATGGCTATATATCAATATTTTTTTTTAACGATTTTGCCATCAAAATAAGAATCCGCAAATCAAAGAAGCTTTGGATTTAATCCAATTTCCGTGAAAGCCAGATGTGGGGATCAAATTGAATGAGATCTGCAGAGATGCAAGAGCTTTGCTTGGCGCCGGAAAGAAGAAAATAAGAAAAGTGCGAGCTCGGACAGCACGCGCACCTATGCTCAAATCGAAACAAACACGGCGGAGAGAGAAAGAGCGGCTGGAGAATCGAATTTCACTTACCGGCTAATGAAATATCCCGAGGCGATGAGGAACGAGTAGCGCGGGTTGCAGACCAGCATAAAAAGCGGTGCCGCTGCTTTGGGAATCGCCCGGGAGGCTCGAGGCGAATCCCCTCTTCACGCAGCCTCCGCGGCTGGACCAGTGCTCGGTGCCGAACACGCAGCCGCACTCGGCGCCGGCCACCAATTGCGGCTCGCAGCCGCCGACGGGGGCTGGCCTTGCGCTGGTTGGACCATCTCGCGCTGAAGATGGATGCATTCGCGGAGCGGCGCTCAAACACCCAACAACACCAACGCGGCATCCACAAAAAATATTCTACCCATGTATAGTTCTAAACCGTTTTGATGAAAATTGTTATTATATTTTCTAATTGTGTAAGATAAAAATGATTGAAATTATTGATAAACTTTATGTTGGACATTTTAGATTGCAGTATTAAATTAATTATAAATTAAGTTTATATTATTCATTCTACTCTGGTAATGAAATTAATCATGGCAGTATTTAAAAATGTGAATATTAAAATTATGCCGATAAGCAAAATTTAGAATAAATAAATAAGCCTTTTTTTCAATATAATTACACGGCACGGCTACAGCAAAATTTTTCAGTTCAAATTTGGATTTTGAGAACCAATAGAGAAAATTTAATATTTTTTATATTTGAAATTTAATTTATAGTGTTATATAAATAAAGTTAAAACTTGACCTAAGTCAAATACATTATCCTCGTTCTTTATTATTATAGAAGGAAAAAAATTAATTTTTTTCTCATCAGTTTAAGTGTAAAAAGAGTAAAAAAAGAGTAGAAATGTTCTGTGTTAGAAAAAACGGATACCTAAATTTTGCCTCCAGAAAAGCATCATATTGATGTTGTAAGTAAAAATCAATTTTATCGCTGCATTTTTTTGTCTTAAAATGTTTTATGGAAATATATTTTTATCAGATTATGTTGGGTTAGTCTGATCAATTAGATTTTGGATTTACGTAAAATCTAATAATTAAAGTAATTTTGAAATAAATTTGAACATTTTTCTCTGGTATTGATGCACATATCTTGTGATTTTCAATTTTTTTGTAAGCGATAAAAATTGAATCAGCTATTTAATTAATAGTGCTTTGAACTTATCAATTTTAATTTAAAAATTAATATTAAAAAAATTATAATAGAAAAATTTAAAGAGGAATAGGCTTTTTCTATATGCAGATTATGCACTCGAGTATTCATACATTATGATAACGATTGACACCAGCTGAAGCAAGCTGAAGTGTGGATTGTGCAGGAATAGAAAACAAAAAGATCAGTTGGCGCGGGTTTTGGAGTTTACAAGAGGAGGGAGAGCGGGATGGTGTGAACAGAGCGTAATTACGCGGTCGCTCATCATATGCGGCAGACACAATGCACGGGGAGATAAGCATCGCCAAGATATATTCTTACACCTTGCGCCTCGATTCATAGATCATAATATTGTTGTTGATGCACTTCCTGCATGCCTAATTATTCCAACAATAACACTCGGCCTGCTGCTGTTTCGAATTAATGGGCTTCGAATATAAACCGCAACGGGTCTTCGGAAGGAAAAATGCACTTTGTCTCTCTCTGCGGATTCAATTCCCAGCCAGCGCATTGTGTTTTTTTGCACAGCGGGGACCGGAATAACAATTTTCGCAGCATGTGCGATTTTTTTGTATGAAAAAATGTACTCATGATTTTCACCTTGTCATCGTCGTCATAAATTTTCGTTCTAATTTCTTGATTCAAAAGGGTGATAAGCGTGGTGAAATTTAATCAAATTATGTATATGATAATTTTCACTGGTCGCGTTTTATTAAATATGCACGGAGGCGAGAAATTAGTAGTGTGTGGGCTTCTCTATCATTAAAATATACATAATTTTAATGGCGTCGACACGCATGTATATATGCAAAGTGTATTAATTTCCTCGACGTATCAAATTACAAAGGCGAAATTAACCCACTGCTGCGCTATGTGTGCACAGGTTGTGTAAAAGCAGAGAGTATCGCAGCTGATCTAAATTTATAAATATTCTGACAAGCTGTTTTCACCACGAGAGCAGCCCATAATGGATTATTATAATTTATGGCCCCTCGACAACAAAACCGCATCACGCACTGCTCTTTTCTCAGCAGCACCGTGTACACTTAATTAAACCGTGCGCACACACAAGGTCTATAATGGACTCCCATGCCGGTGGTTGGATTTGCCATTTGCTCTCTGCACAGACTAGATGAGCCGACCTTCGCCAAAAAGGAAATTTGTATACGGCGCTCGCAATTTTTGTACAGCTATTATAATGGCTTAGAAACATCGTGTTGAACATGAGAACTCGTCCCATTGAAGACTAACTGTTGATGTATAATTTAGAAGTTAATGGTTGATAAAAAGTACAGACCAGAATTTTAGAGAAGCTCCAGTCCGTTGACTTAGAATATGAAATTTTTCTTAACGGGTCTTCAAAATGGCAATAGTAATATAATTGAATTAATTCTGGCAATAACTTATACACAAAGGAATTTGTAATCTTGAATTTTTTGTAGTTAAAAAGCTCAATTTTTCACATTTCACACTTTGTATCTATTGTGCCTGATACAAATTTTAAATAGTTATAAGCCCCTAAGTGGCCCCTTATTGTGATTTCTTCAATTCCGTCCAATTTGTATAGTCGGCTATGAGTTAAAATTTTAAATTATTATAGAGAAAATAAAAAATGAAATTTATTTAGACTTCTTGTGAATTTTGCCTACCATCATTTAGAAAAGCCATATTTTCATTCTTCCTAATGACTTTGCGTGTGTTTTGTGAGTAAAAAAGTCATTAAGCATCTCAAATTATGAAATAAGAGGCTCAAAGAGCAACTTGACTCTCGCAATTGTCAAGTTGACATTTTAAAAATGATGAATTTTCGCTTTTCCAGAGCGAAAAGTACATATATACTTTCATGGTGCGGTTGCTTCTCCTCTTCTCAATTAGATCACAGAGAGACCGGCGGTGGCGAGACCATTATTGCACGTGGCCCATAAAGCATCTGCACGGTCATTAACTTTGTTTTGTTCAAATAAACCATTAAGATCCAATAACACGCTCGTTTGTGTTTTATTCTCTCCTAGTGTTTTTTGTAAGTGAGAAAGAAAAAGCAGGGATTCTTACCAGACGCGAGAATAAGTAAAACGAGAGAGCGCAGGTGGTGGTTCTTCTTTTTCGCTGCTGATGAGAGGATTTTGGGTGACGCCTGGGTGACGCGCCGGGTCAAGAGGTCAACCTCATCATTCATCACGAGACTTGACACTTTTCTTATGCTGCGCTTGGGTGTAACTTTCTGTATGCGAAATTAAAGACACACATGGCATTATTGGGACCTTTTCTTATAATGTATTTAGGAAAAAAGTAAATAAAAATATGTCTCTAAAATGAAGTCAACAGAATATTGTTAAAATTGACCAAGTTTTTATTTAGGGATGCTTGCCGTCTGATTTATAGCCGAACGATCAAACGATGCTACCCACCAAGACGCACTGCTACTGGAATGTTAATTAATGAATCAGCCCCGCGCAAAGCATCCCTTAAAACGAAAGCAGATGCAGAGCAACAAACGTCAACGCATCTCTCTACAGCGTTCGTTTCAAATTGAGAGAAAAAAACTCGAACCGTGCTGCTGTTGTTCTTCTCTCCCTGCTATAGTCCCATGCACATTCTGCATTTTCGGTTTGGGTTATTAATTAAGCACGTCGGCCGTCTCTCCACAGAGACACATTCTTTATTTATATGAGATGGGGACACCCTAATTAAGGAGTTTGTCTTGCAATTAGGCACAATTTTGCTCATAATTCCCAAGTATTTGCCTTTATGCATTTCCAGTTGTTAAAATTTGACAAAAATTGTATTCAATATTTCTCAAAATATTTTAATGAAGTTATATAGGCTCACTCACTATTGTTTTTGAAAAATGTGAAAGCAAGTAAATATTTCTAATTTATTTTGCACAGAAATGTATCGAAATGAATCCAATAAACAATAAATCTTGTACGTAATTTTAATCACGCAAGCAACATTGAAAAAGAACCCATCCCTTTATATTAATTTTTATTTCAATCACTTTGTGTTTACCAATTTATTTAAAATACACGATACACTACCAAAAAATTAACATTTTAATATATCATCTATTTGTTCAATCAAAATTATGCTGGTCGAAAAGGTCAATTTGAATTAAATTTGGTCTAAAAAGTTTAAACATAAACAATTTTAAAAAGACAATTGAGAACTTCTCTTATAAATAAATTTTTATTCGATTCTGTTTTTCCCAAACCACGCCTTACGGTGATGATACGACCTCCCAACTCAACCTCTGTGCTTCACGTAAAGCCCTCTGCTACTTCTTTCGGAATAAAAAATGTGACGTGTTTCTTCTTTTAATGCCACAGAGCGTCTGCTGGTCAGAAGCAAAGCACATCCTTTTTAATAGCATAAGAGCCACAACACGAGCTCTCACCGTATTTATTTTCCAGCATTCTTCTTCTTGCTCTTGGTCGTTGTCGTGCACATTTGACTTTATCTTGGCATGTTTATTGTCCGGGCCAAGCTGGAATCCTCGGAGCACCATTTCTTATTTCCAGCAACTAGAGAGAGAGAGAAAGAGAGATTGAAGCGCACCACGGCCACGGGAATTGAAAATTTAAACGGAGGCTAAAAAATAAAGTAAAATAAAGACCGGTGATATGCTCTTTTTGCGCGCAATAATATATCTCTGACCAGCATCTCGCACCTCAATTTACATTTGGCCAAACCAGAATCTCAAGAGACTTTTTCTTTCTTTCTTTCTCTCTCACACGCTGGTTTTCTTTGTGCAAATACGCAGCCCTGACAAGTTGAAGTTTTATTGCATTCGTCGATCCGCTCTCTCTTAATTTGTTGCAAGGTTTTTATATAACAAGGAGCTCGTCAGTGGGTCCAGACAAATTGCCGAAAATCGTGACGAACGGCAAATGTATGCAAAATTAAATTAAAGCAGGGAGCGGCCTTGCGAAAAAACGCTTTTTGCAAACAGACATAAAGAAAATACGGTAGGAGATCTTCGTGAATGGCT